ATCGGAGAGTCGAGTTCTTAATTCCAGTTGAATCTATTACATTCACTTACATGCTAATGCCCTTGGGAAAGGTATGAATCCTCTTCTTCTCCCCCCCAGCTATGGGTAAATAGCAGGAAAGACCAGGTTCTATAGCCTTTGATGGCAACTGGTCTACTGTAGAAAGAAATGGCAACCTACTGCAGGAAAAAATCTGCCTACTCAGTCATGTATCAAAAGATACATGATCGCCTAAGCATGTATCACACATGCCACATAACTGACTGACTGACTATACCTTGAGTCTTGCATTGACTGAATTTTAGTCTAAAAAATGTACATGCAGACACATACTTTTGTACAGATACACTTTTGTAAGAATATTTTAAAAAGGTAACATGATTTTCTAGCCTGTTATAATGGCGACAGTATCCAGGATACATTTGCCAAGAATAACATATTTGTGATTATGCAATATTTTCAAATTGCTGTTGTATTGTAGACAGACAGTCCTTTATATTCCATGATTCAGCAGTTTTGGTCTTTGTACATTTATTGTGCTCAGAAATCCAATTCCAAGTTTGATCATTCTCTTCAAAAGAAAAGAGTTACTCAACAAAACCATGATTTTTGTTTCTTTCTTTAGAATCTTTAAACAACAAAAGTTAGAGAATAAAAGCAAATCTTCTCTGCAAAGTTACATGTGTAAACTGTTTGAACAAAATCTGTAACCTCCCTCTCTCTTGCTCTTTCTTTCACCCTCTTTCTACTTCTTTCCTCTCACTTTTTGTCCCTCTCTTTCTCTATAATGCTCTTTCTCTCCCTCTTGTTCCCTACCTTTTTCTATAGCCCTCTCTCTTCCTTACTGCCCACCTTCCTTCCATCCTACTCTTCTCTTTCTGTATATCTCTTTTACTCTGTTTCTTGCAATCTCCCTCGCTATACATATATATATATATATATATATATATATATATATATATAGAGAGAGAGAGAGAAAAAAAAGTGCACTAAAAGCAAAGAAAGAAATAATCTTCAAACAAAACTACAAATTTTGGTAAATTTTTATTATTGAGTATTTGTTTTACTTCCAGTTGAAAGGAATGAATTACAAAGATCCTTGCAAAATAAAATCCCACAAAAATATTTTGTTTTTCAACACAGCAGAAATAATTGTGTTAGAATGGTAGAAAACAAAATATGCCTACTTAATGAGATAGTCATGTATTTATGTTGTTTTATGAATGTGTTTTTTCAGATTACAAATGAAGCTTGTTATTACTATATGTTTTTTGATTACATAACTTGTTCATATGATTTACATATTGCTAGATTAATTTACTTTAAAATCGCAAGGCTATTGCAAGAATTTACACGATAGATATACGAAATGTTGAGTCATTAACTATAAAGAAATATGTGAGTATTCAGTTTGCACACAGTGACAACAAACCTTTTTAAAAGTTTACCAGAAAACTAAATTGATTTTGTGAATTTACTCAATGAATTTTTATAGAAAATAGGTGGATCAATGAAGCTAAAAGTTAGACTTACTAAACTCAGAAGTTTATTGCTTCATAAATATTTTTTCTAATTTTTAAATATCCATTTTTAGGAGGGAAATTTTGTTGAGAATTCTCTGAAGTGATCTCTCAAATTTCGTAGCAGACAATAAACATAGTTGTTTGATATTTCAAAGCCTTAATATTATTGGTGATGGGTTAATAAATTCGAAAATTTGGAGCCTACATTTTGCACAAAAATGAGTCGATTAAGATTTTTAGTGATATTACTTAAATCTATTGAATTTATATGCAGTATTTTTAACATATATTTTGAGATATATACATGCACATGCACTTGTAAGTGTAGGAAATTATAAAATTGAAAATCAGCATATATAATAAGCATTTATAAAATAAAGTAAATATTCTATAATAATTCAGTTATTTTTATCTGGATCCTGAAGAGGGGAGCATCACAAAACTCTGAGTTGGTCTTAGATAAGTATTGTGAAATTTCAACATTCTTAATAAAATAATTATTGCTATTTATAGCTATTGAGTATATTTTTTATCAAAAACTTCTGTTTGCCTTGATATTCAATAACTTATACATTTTACATATATCATTGGTGTTATATATATATATATATATGCTGAAATAGATATGAAATGTATAATACATCTTTTAATGATAGTGATAGATATATAAAATCTACTGTTATAAAAACTTCACCTGTAACCTCATAGCTACATACCATACAAGGTCTCAAAAATATATACTAAATAAGACACCACTTTCCCAGAATCTAACATGCCATCTATCTAAAATAAAGGTGCATAAAATCTCTTATTAAACTTTAGCCCTCTTCATTACTAATATTACTTACCTTTCCACTGCATTATTTTTCTGTGCCTCTCAATTGCAATAATCTTATTGTTAATTTTATTCAAAGGTGTTTTCTGTTGCCATAGCAGGATATGACAACACAACTATGAAATTCAAACAAATTCAGATTAAGAGATTGGTAAATGAAGTCACATACAGAATGATGAAAATAAACACAAGGCTATTATATTCTTATTAATAAGAGAGAGACACTTGCTGACAACACAAAAATATTAAACAATGTCAACTGTGAAGAAAAGGCAACAAAGGCTTGAAGTCATGGCCATAAATGAGCTATACTAAATAAAATGGCTTTCAACCTAGGAAATAATAAAATAAATGTTTTCAATAATTCGTAAACTTAAAAACTAAATTGACATAATATCATATCTCTCAATTAGTGTGGCTAATGTGTATATTAAAAGATATGCACTAATCAAGAACGCATTAATTAAATTGAAAAAAGTGACAAACAAAATAGTTACTCATCTTGCATTTTTAAATTTTGGAAAATTTTTAATTAATCAGTAACTATGTAAAATATTCAATTTTCAGTCAATATGGTTAAACTGAAGATTGTTTTACCACACTAATAGTATTATGCATACACTAATAAAATTTTGGTATAAAAAAAATTCAGTGCACTAATCAAAAATGTATTAATCAAATGTACATTAATTGAGGGATTCCTGTATATATAATAAAAATAGTTTTAAGGTATGCTATATTTATAGATAAAAATGTTTACTATCAGAGGTAGAGCATATATAAATATAAAAGTGGACACTGATGTTGACACCATGTCGCTACAGTCTGTTTCATGGTCGAACACAATCTTTAGGCTATGTATGTTGTATTTTGGCTCAACTATTTTCATATCTATCTGTGTGTATATATATATATATATAAAATTACTGATACCCTTTGAAGAGTGGACAGACAATTCTGTCTCTGAAGTTGGGATGCTGAAGGTAACATCAGTCTGCTAAACAACAAAGTTTTGTTAATTCTCTCTCTCTCTCTCTCTCTCTCTCTCTATATATATATATATATATATATATATAGTTGAGCCAAAACAACATACATGGCCTTAAGATTGTGTTCAAGCATGAAACACTGTTTTCTCTTCGTGTGGACCTCAGTGTCCACTTATATAGAAAGTAAGGTTTTTTTATATATCCCAAATGGGTAAAAATTTATAGGAAAAAGAAACTGAAAATGCAACTGGAGTCTTAAAGAGCAACTTTAACTGTTTCACAATTCTATGATTTTCAAAAGTGAAATCGAAGTGCAGCTATGAGTCAGAGAATTCTTTACATTTTATGCAGAAAAAAAAATGGCTCAGATTGCTATCTTTTTAAAATGCAATCTGATTGGTTGATTATGATCAGGCATAACAATTGTTGCACCAAAAATTTATGATCATAAATTTTGTTGTCAGATGTTAGGAGTCTCATAGTTCAGTGAACATGGCTAATGACAGCAGAGTGTTAAGCAGTTCAAGTGTCAGGGATTCGATTTTATTGGACATTAGTTGCAATCTCAAAATGTCCAATGTACAAGGATTAAATTTGCATGTGTGCGTAAATAATTTTAACATTTCATACTTTGTTAGAATGTGACACAGAATTAAGCATAAAATTACTCAAAGTTAAGCACAAAATTATTCATATCCTTAAAAATGTGATTTTTGAGTATTTTTATTAAAGGAATACTTATTTGTCTGATCAAAATTGACACAAAAAAGTGTGTTAGAAATAGTAAGGGATAAATATCGGGAAAAAATTAAATTTTATTAAATTATTTGTAGTTTGATCACAAAATACATTTTCAAAATTATTCATACCCATATCTTAATAATGAATTATTCATACCTGTATCTTAATGAAACATACAGACTGTATGATTTATCAGAGCCTGTAACTTGTTCTTTTGCTTCATCACCAGATTCCAACACATGTTTTATATGATAAAATTGCAAAAGTAATAATCATAATAATACTGCAGTAAAATTTAATTTTTTTCCTCTCTTCTTTATATACTGATTCTTTCATTCTAATTTCTTCATTAAGGTATGAAAAATTCCTTTAATGAATTTTCTGTCTTCTTAATTCTTGTTCTTTTATTGTGCTTTCTCTTTAATAGTATTTTTTCTTGTATTCACTAACACTCAGTAGCCCCTTGCATCTTAGTAACTTTATTGCCAAGAATACATTATGAATAATTTTGAGCTCGAGTGTATATTCAAATATTTTGTTTTATATTTTAAGTAATTAATGGATTTATTTATTAATCTGGTATTTCTTGGCACTGTAATCATTATTAAAATGAATATTATTAAAGTATTATAAATCAGTTTAAAAAAATGAACATTAATTATTAAAAAGTAACTTTTACATTTTGGGTATCCGAGGGCTATGGATGGATCGGTTACCACCGAATATAACACAAGTTCTAGCCCTGGTACCAGTAGAGACGCCCCTTGACGTCGTGGCCGACTCAGCCGACAAAGTATACTCCCAGGCTCACCAAAGCGTTCACCATGTTGAAAGCCAAGGAAACCACACACAACGCCTCGAAGAGGAGATGACCCAGCTACGCGCAGAGTTGAGAGACCTGAAACTCTCCCTATGCCGGAGGCAGTGAAGCCCAGCACCACGCACGCGAAATCAAAGCCGTACCCGCAGCTCAAGTCCAGGACGGAGAAACAGTGTGGACGAATGTTGGTACCACCAAACCTTCGGTGACCGAGCCCGCAAGTGCCACCCTTCCTGCAGACGCAATAAGGCCCGGGGAAATGAATAGACCGACAGGCAGCGACGACAATCCCTGTCGGTACTCGCTCACACAGTCGTCTCTTCTACGTGTGGGACCGTAACAATGGCTTCAACTTCCTAGTGGACACTGGCGCAGCCATCAGCGTAATACCACCAACCAACAGATCCGCCTTGAAACCCACCCCATTCCAACTTCGAGCGGCAAACGGCTCCCCCATAGAAACCTATGGGAACAAGGAACTTACCTTGAACATCAACCTCAGGCGCGACTTCAAGTGGTCATTCACCGTAGCTGACGTCAGGATACCCTTGCTCGGTGCCGACTTCTTGGCACATTACAACCTGGCTGTCCATATGAAGACGAGGACCCTGTCCGACAACATGACAACCATCAAGATCACAGGGATCCCATCGAGCTTCAACACAACTAGGATCAGCGTGGCAACACAGCATGACCCCCACTACGTAGAAATCCTGCGCCGGTACAAGCACCTCACGCAACCCATCAAACCAACTGATGCAGGCGACCATCAGACCCAACACCATATAAAGACCACCGGACAACCAGCATATTCACGGCCACAACGACTCCCTCCACACAAATTAGCATATGCCAAGAAAGCGTTTGAGGAGTTGCTGGCCGACAATATCCTCTGACCCTCAGACAGCCCATATGCTTCACCACTGCATCTGGTACCCAAATCCGACGGGGATTTCAGGATCTGCGTGGATTACCGGAAACTCAATGCGTCCACAGTGCCCAACCGGTATCCTGTTCTGCATATCCACGACTTTGCCTCAGGTTTACAGGGGTCCCGCATTTTCTCAAAAATTGACCTGACCAAAGCCTACTACCAAGTTCCAGTCGCTCCGGAGGACATCCCAAAGACAGCAGTCACAACCCCTTTTGGACTGTTTGAATTCCTAAAAATGCCCTTCGGACTGCGCAACGCAGCCCAGACGTTCCAGAGGCTGATGGACGAAGTTCTGCGTGGACTACCATCCGTCTACGCATACATTGATGACATCCTAGTGGCTAGCAGAGATGCTGATCTCCACAAACAACACCTGGAGGAAGTGTTCCGCCGTCTAACACATTACGGCCTCCGAATCAACCCAGACAAGTGCGAATTCGGTGCACAACACATAGACTTCCTCGGACACCACACAGACGCTCAGGGAATCACTCCACTTGCCGATAAGATAAAAGCCATACAGGATTTCCCGATGCCCACATCGATAAAGCAACTGCGACGCTTCTTGGGGATGGTAAATTTTTACCGCAGGTTTATCCCCGGATGCTCAAAACTCCTCACCCCCTGACAAAAATCTTCTCCAGAGAAAAAAACAAAGTCATCACCCTGGAGGGCGACCAGGAAAAATCATTCCAAGCAGCAAAAACTTTTTAGCTAACTTTACGAAGTTAGCACATCTTAACGAAGACACCCGGACTCAGATATATCTAACAACAGATGCCTCAGACACTGGAGTTGGAGCTGTGGTAGAACAGGAGGTTGACGACCAACGCAAACCCATCACATTCTTCTCGGCTAAATTATCACCAGCCCAGTCCAGATACAGCACCTTCTCGAAAGAACTTTTGGCTATATACCTCGCCATCAAACACTTCCGACATCTACTGGAAGGCCGGAATTTCACCGTTTTGACCGACCATAAACCCTTGACAACTTCCCTGTCGAACAACTCGGACAAATATACAGCTCGCGAGATCAGACATCTAGACTATATCTCACAGTTCACGTCTGATATTCGTTATGTCAAAGGAAAAGACAACTCTGTCGCCAATGCCCTATCCAGATTTGATGTCAACACAGTGCAAGACAGCCCACTCAGCCAGGACCTGATAGCAGTGGCACAGGAGTCCGACGCAACCCTCCCTGAAGTCCTAGCCAACACATCCCTGCAACTGAAAGAATTTCCGGCACCCTTCAGCAACAAAATATTGTACTGCGATACAAAACTGGATCACCCTAGACCCTACATACCTCCGGCACTCAGAAGGCAAGTTTTCAACCACCTCCATGGATTGTCACATCCCAGCAAGCGCGCTACGGTCAAACTCATTGCCGATCGTTTCGCGTGGCCCAACATGAATACTGACATCCGTAATTGGGTATCAACATGCCTTAAGTGCCAGAAATGCAAGGTACACCGGCACACAAAAAATCCCGCCAGGCACATTCAGCAACCCTGACGCACGCTTCAGCCACATCCACATCGACATAGTGGGACTCCTCCCAATGTGCCAGAATTATCAGTACCTCCTCACAGTGGTTGACCGTTTCTCCAGGTGGCCAGTAGCAGTATCCATCAGAGATACCTCGGCTAGCACGGTAGCAAAGACCATCCTTCAGAAGTGGATCGCAATTTTTGGCGTACCCAGCATCATCACCACAGACTGCGGCGCGCAGTTTCAGTCCTCACTCTTTCAGGAATTCACTCAACTGCTCGGCGTCAAACACATCAAGACCACCGCCTACCATCCCTGTGCCAACGGCCTTGTGGAAAGGTTCCACCGAACACTAAAGGACTTTCTAACTACAAAACATCCCACCAGCAACTGGGTAGACGAGCTACCCCTAATCCTTTTGTCAATCCGCAACACACTCAAAGAAGACTTAGAATGCACTCCAGCCGAAATAGTCTTCGGTACAGCACTCTCTTTACCCGGCCAATATTTCAACGACACCATACCCAACCTAACCACCGCATGTCCTTTCACTCAGGAACTTCGCCATAAAATGGCCCAACTGAAGTATACACCACCCAGGCAATCATCACCAACTATCCACGTTCCACGACAGCTTCAGGACTGCGAGTTCATTTTTGTCCGAAATGACGCGGTAAAGAAACCACTAACACCAACATACCAGGGTCCATTCAAAGTCTTAAAACGCTCTGAGAAGCATCTCACCATTGATCGAGGAAGCCGGACGGACACCATCTCCATCGACAGAGTCAAACCAGCTTTTCTGGAAAAATCTCCACGGGAGGCAGAACCCGTCTCAACACACCCAGAACCCTCACCTGCCTCAACAACCACGCAATCGCAACCATCACAACCAAGGTCAGAGCCAATCCCAGAATCACCCACCACTCCACCTAGGCAGACCCATCTTGGAAGGAAAGTCACCTTCCCTAAGAAGTACAAGACATATATTTTCTTCTAACTGATAATGATCAATTATCCTGGGAGAGGGCCTTGTCGCAGTGTGCCCAAACACCACTCCCACCTTTTCTTAAACAACCCCGGATATGCCGTCCGGTAGAGAAAGGTCACGGCCCTTGTGTGCTAAAAATAGCAACGACATCCTTTCAAACTGTCAGAAACACACAAAACTCAATTTTTGCCACTAAACAAAAATAAAAGACCTTTATTTTCGAACCGAAATTAATTTAAATACAGTCAACAAACACCGAACACACTTTTGACTGTAATTAATACGACCCAAAATTAATTATATTCATTTACTTGTTTAGCGTCACCGCTTTCTCTTGTATGAACCATCATATCTAGATGCCCGAGACTTCGTAGCGGTTTTAGCCGGCCTGGGAGCAGCCCGGACTTCGGGCTGGGTTACCCATGGCAAAGTCTAGTTTGGACCATATCAGGACCTGCTAAGACAAGCCAAGACCAAGACCAGAACTTGACTAGAAGCTTGACATAAGCCAAAACATTGATGACCAGCTTAGGACATGTTATGACCAATCTTTGACCAGTGACCCTATGCGGAACGCTTGGGTTTTTCCCACTAAAAAACGACCTTGGTTTTCCTGGGAGTCGAAAAAAACGACCTTGTGTCACATCTTGACCTCATGGGGAGTCAAGTAAATACCGCCGGCCCGGGGAGCAGCCCGGCCTTCGGGCTGGGTTGCGACCCATGGCAAAGTCTAGTTTGGACCATATCAGGATCTGCTAAGACAAGCCAAGACCAGAACTTGACTAAGCTTTGACCAGCTTGGACATGTCATGACCAAAACATTGACTAAGCCTTGACTGGCTTGGACATGTTATGATCAATCTTTGACCAGTGACCCTATGTGGAAACGCTTGGGTTTTCCCACGAAAAACGACCTTGTGTCACATCTTGACCTTCGTGGAAGTCAAGTAAATACCGCCGGCGCGGGGAGCAGCCCGGCCTTCGGGCTGGGTTGTGACCATGGCAATGTCCGGCCTTCTCTCCTGCACCTTCCAGCTCTCTCCTGCAGCATCCAGCTCACTCCTGCAGCTTCCGGCACTCCTACAGCATCCAGCTCACCCCTGTGGCGCTCTACTGACGCCCCGCTACCTATTCCAGCACACGCTGACGACCTAATCCAGTGCCCACTGACATCCAGCGCCCGTTATCGTCCGGACACCGTTCCCGAACAAACGACCTTTCCATCGTCTACAACGGACGATCTGCATTTGTCATCCTTCTTTGCTATTGCCAACTCCTTGCCTTCGTGTCCCCTGTTTTAG